GAGGAGGCTGAATTGCCAGAGAGGGAGAGACAGGGAGAAGGGAAAAGAAGAAGGGAAACCATTTGGGACCAGATTACGGAGGCTTTAGATGCTGGTCTGAGGGGCAAATGGAGAAGAAAAAGCTGGGGATGGTCTGACACCTGGGATCTGACACGGGCCTGGCAATGGCTGGGATGACACATGCCTGGGTTGTATGGGATGGGCAGGAACAGGAACATTCAGCAGGAGGAGAGCTCTTCGCAGCCATCATCACATTTTGGGTTAGATGGTGAAGGTGGCGATAAAGTGAAGAAGGAGGACAGATTCTGTGGATCCTGCAGAAGAAGAGTGACAGGGCTTGAGGCCCGCTTGGATCTGCAGAGTAAGGAAGTCAAAGGCCTCTCCAGAGGTGTAAGCTTGGGGCTCTCCTGGGGAAGCTTCAACTAAAATAAAGGCCAGTTTGGGGAGAAAGACGTTGACTCCAATCTCAAGCATTTGGGTTTGGGGCAGTGGTGATGGGATATGTAAGTGGGAACATGGAGCCAAGCATACACCATGGTGTACCCAGAAGCGGTCGCATTTGTGGCCAAGGAAGCTAAGGCCCACGGGCTCTGTGATCTGCCTGAGGTTACAGAACCAGCTGCAGGCAAGCGGGAACCAAATTCCTGGCTAAACCTCCTTCTGCCTGGCAAGCAGCTGGTTCAGCTGTGGGGCTAGTCCTTGGGGGAGGGTGACAGCCACTGGAGAGTTGAGTCCATAGAAGAGGCAGGAGTAGAAGGCAATGGAGCAGTGAAGTCTCTGCAGGGGAATAGAGGAGAGAGCAAAGGCCAAAGGGCAGGGAAAGGAGTCTTGCCATGTGTCCTCATTTGCGGGATGTGAGAAGGAAGCAGATTGCAAGCAGACGTCAGCTGGAATAAAGAGAGCAGTGTCACCCAGGCCAAAGGGAGACAGCACTGCATACAAGCATCAGAGACGCCCACCTGCACGCTTGTCTGCCTCCTGCAATACAGACAGCCGCACGGATCCAGGGGCACGGGGTGCTCAACCGTGTCAGATGCTTCAGGAATGTTAAAAGAGAATGCAGCCAGGCCACAGGATTTGCCACTGGAGATCATGGAGAGCGCATTTCAGAAGCATCCTGGGAAGGGAAGCTGACAGAGAGTGGGAAGTGAGGAAATGGAAGATGGGAGGACAGACCACTCTTGAGATACTTGACAATGAGAAGAATGAGTGCTTAAAGATGAACAGAGACAAGCCAATGAGAGGAATGAGCGCTTAAAGATGAATAGAGAGACAAGGAAGGTGAGTTTTGTTTTGTTTTGTTTTGTTTTCAAAGTAGCAGTATGGTATGGTGGCCTACAGAAACAACTGGTGGGAAGAAATTGAAGATGCAAGAGATTATAAAAGAACTGGGTCCTGGGTCATGGAGGAGAGAAGGGGCTGGGTCCTGGGACCTGGGTCCTGGAGGAAAGGATGGCCTAAGTGCTGGGTCCTGGGTCACAGAGGAGAGAAGGGGCTAGATCCTGGGGTCATGGAGGAGAGAAGGGGCTGTGCCATGCGCGCCGCCACACAGCACACAATCACCACCACACACACGACACACACACACACCATCCGGCGCCCTCCCAGCATAAGACAATACACCGTTAGGCTACTTCTAACGAAATCCCAAATAACAGCAGCTTAGGAAAAAGTAACTGTTTTTCTCTGTTATGCAAACAATGCGAGGTACAGGGCATCCAGCGGACAGTTCGTGGTCTGTTCTGCAGTGTCACTCAGCTGTCTGGACGTTCTTCCTCCTCGTTCTGGGCCATTCTCGCACAGCTGCTTTCATCCTCAAACGGTCACTTCTGTCG